GGGAATATTGATGAGTTCAATCATATGTGGTCAGATAATACAGATTTCCATAAACAAATCATATAGGACACTCACAAAAGTGATTGGAATTAAGATACTCAAATATCAAAAATTAAATATTAATTTTAAGGCTTTGATTATTATTGAAGTGAAAACTATAAAGTTGACGACGTAATTACATGCTGAAACACATTAATAGCTGTTGATTTAAAGCATCCTCTGGTGATTTGCTCGCGAGCCATCTACACGCTAATACCTCATCATTCTACACTTTGGTCCCCCATTTCAGTGCTCTAGTAACACGCCATCTGGTGTCACTTCATGGAATTGTGACGTCACGTGACCTACTGGTCTCGAGTACACATCTCCATCGCCTGAAGCACTATCTTTAAGTGTCTAAAATACAGCCCTAACTACTTTACTGTCTCTTACTGGACTAATTCTATGTAAAATTTCTTCACATGACGCTAGCTCTAACCAAGATATCACAATAAGAATCAATGTCAATCACAGTTCATTCCAGAAATAACCAAACCACATAAATGCACTCCACAAGTCATCAAACCTTCACATCCAAGAATCCAACAAATGGATAAGGAATCTGAAAGTGCTAAAAAAATGACATTATTCTCTTAGTGCGAAAAAATAACTTAGACTTTAAGAGCTAAGATTTAAATTCGATCATAAGAAAATTGTCGTTCATGTTAGACATACCTTTATGATGCATAGGATAAAAATATCTCGAGTTTGATTGTTTTAGGTATAAATACATATGGAAACGGTTCTTTTAACGGATAATTAGATTGTAAGTTAAACCAGTATATGGAAATCATATATGTAAGCCATAAAGTTAAACTATATTGTATATCTAGTTAGTGTGGTGCATAGAATACATTTCTAGAATTTTAATGCTGTGTATTTAAACTAACACAAAAACAGCCTATTTCAAGACTACTGTCGGATATACAAGACTGTTTAGTTTAAGAGTTATTAGTTAATTTATTTAATAATTTAATATTTAATGACTATTTAGTTTCATAACAAGAGTGTTAATTATTTTAAAAGGGATAGTTATGACAAGTTTCATTATATAACTCTGTACGAGCCAACATTGTGTATGCAGTTTAATTGTTGTGCTAGGCTTTTGTGATACTGTTGACGTCATCTTACTCGAAGCAGCTAGATATTTCTAGATTTTTCTATCGCGTGTTATAAATATGTGCAGATATAGAATGCAAGTAAGTTAGAAAATGTTAAGTTAGTGAAAGTGAAGTTAGACTGCATGATTGTTAGTTTAGCCATAATGGGCGACATCTAAAGTGAGTTTCACAGTGGTATTGTAACAACAGAGATAAAAAAGAATAATTTTTCTTGTCAAAGGATGTTCTAAAGTAATTCAGCCCGCCTGTGTGGACTTTGATGAAAAGGAGACAATTACTTAAAGCTCTGGATAAAACTGTGATAACCAATAGTGAAATGAGTTTTTGTCCATCTACATAGCTTGTAAGTTCGAGTTTATGGATAATCATGTGTAAACCTTAAACTACGCTATACAGAAGTCAAACTGTGGCAAACTCAATGAAACATAAATTATTAATTTTACTTATTTAAACAGTTCTTTTTATATTGAATAAGTAGCTATTGAAGATAATTTATACATTAGAAAGTTGACCATAATGATAATGCATAACTAATATTGTTTTAGGTACTTTAGAAAATGATTTTATTTTACAATGTGACACAACTTGAGAATCACGTTAAGACAAGTTCAAGACATTGCCACACTATAGCCTCACACACTCTTTGGTGGTTCTATCATGAATCACATAAAAAAAACAAAAAAATCGGCCTCCAAAATTGTCCTCACCGCTAATGACGCCCACATTTTGCCACACTGCATTGATGATCTAATCAATCACCATTGCAAAACATTATAGAAGTATCTGCTTATGATATTACAGGTGACTTGGCCTCCCGGCCTCAAAGGATACCCCTCATTTTACCAGGAATTTATCATTTCCAAGATACGAATAGCCCTTGTAATTAATATACCTAGAAAACAAAGGAATGTGGATCATCTTAGGGTACCAGGACCATCTAGAAAGAGACCTATAACAAGTCGTGCACCAGTCATGATACCTTGTAACAGTTGAAAATCCACGAACATAAAGGTCAATGGCAAAAATCGTCCACGTGCCCTATGCATAACTGAAAAAGATATCTGTCTGGAAAACAGCATAAGTCATGTGTACAGAAATTGCTTCCCCAGTATATCAAGGAAAGAAAGACCAACTACAGAAAACTATATAAATAGTACCTAGTTTGGAGAAAAATATTAATACATGGTTACACTTGGCAACATATATGTATACCACTTGATAACTATAACAATGAATGAAACACATTTCCAAAAGTGGTACATGGCATGTCGCATAATTATCACTGGCTACTGCTCAAAGTGCAATATAGGGACCATGAGAATAGATACAAAGGTCAAGGTGAACCATGCTTACTATCAGATCAATGTTCTGGTCCCTTTGTACAATACAGAAATATCAGCTTGTATGGATCTAAGGTGAACAGGGTAGAGGTTCACCAAGATAAGGTCATACCTCCTGTTCAATAGTTGCATATCTCAAGTAGCTAAAGAATGAAATAGGTATTCGTGCTCTTTCATATGAATACATTCTGGTCAAGTAGCCAGATGTAGTACTTATAGATTTCTGTGAGACTGGACTGCAGAAGTAGATGCTGGAAAAAAATCCTTGTACACTAGCTGGATTATGGAAGCAACAAGTAGCAGTATACTTTGAAAATGACAGCATTACAATGGAGTCTTTTGTAATACAAACTATGCAGCATAGTTATTGCCAAGCTGTAAGGTCGTCAAGTAGAGCATGACATGAAAGTGGCAACAGGAACTTAACAACGTTTTAAGGCTTCGGTATCATTTTAATATACATACTCAACTTCTGTATATGTCCTATCACTATCATGTCCAGATCTTTCTTCTCGGGTATAACTCTGTTAGGACAGAGTTTAATACCATCATGATTTTTGTGTAGTAGAAGTTACTGTCTTAGCTTTGTCTTATTGACATAAATATTTATTAAGCTAGGATTTTACTGGAACGCCCAATGAAGAATGTTATAGAAATTCTAGAGAAAAAAGAATAAGACAGATTTATGCAAGTTAAGCTCAAAGAAGAAGCAGAAAAGTTATGCTATTGCTTTAACATCAAATTATAGACTTAGTAACAGGTACAAAATATTTACATTCCTGTAGAAACTTTAAGTCACATAGACGATTAAAACCATGACATAGTTAGAGTCGTTAGTATTATAAAATAAATTACGCTTTTTAATACTTACAAAGACAAACAAATAAAAAGCACTACTGTACTTTACTTAATCGGGTGCATGATTTTCGCCATATTTTAATCTCAAAGGAATAACTGAAATCACTGGCAAATCACTGTAAATATGTTAGTCTAAGCCAAAGTAGGGATACAATTTTTTGAACTTTAAGCAACTCATTTTTTGTAGTTTGTCTTTCTTGTTTCAATACTTTTGTAGCATTAAAACTTTCTATATTACTATAAGTAGCTAGGTTACATATATATCGAACCCCACTCATCTTTATAAATTTAATTTTTTATTATACTTGTGAGATTCCTTTTTATTGCTATATTTTTTGTGCGCCAGCAATACCAATTAGATTTTATTACTCATCGTCCCCACCAACCTACCCTCAAATCTAATCATATGCCCAAAGTAGCCTATCTCTGTCACACACACACACACACACAGATATATATAAGAAAGGAATCACTGGTACCACAGACGGAATAGTTCTATGAAAGAGTTAGAACGATAGGGTTCGTCTTTTTTTCTGTACGCTTGTCTGGAAAAGTCACTTACTTACTTACTTACTTTGATGAAAATTCGTTGAAATAGTGAAATTTTGATTCACTCCACGTATATAGTGACTTAGGCGACTTTATAAGTGCAATAAGCTTCGTTTTGCTCAGCCAATACTGTGAAATAAACATTGTTAATATTCAAACATTTTAAAAGTGGTTTTAAACGGGCGATTTTTTATGGCCGCCATCTTGTTTCATCATGATCTCTGCTATTAAGTACTACTGTACTAAATGATAATAAAATGTATACGTTCACTGCATAGACGTAAACCTTAGGAATTTACTAGGATTATGATATGATGAAGAATATAAAAACTCTACAACTTTCAAGCAAATGAGAGATTTAAAATGATCAAATTCACACGAAAAAAATTGGAAGCTTTGCATTTTTTTGTTGTTGTGTAAGAATTAAAATAAGTTTAAAATCGACTAATATTCTTTAAAAGATGATCTGGACAGTATATACATGATTAAACAAAATTAAAAATGGATGCAAACTACCAAACAAAAATAGCGGAACTTTACTAGAAGTGACAACGTTTCATTAGTCTTTTTCTGATATAGAGACTGAAAACTTCTGAAATGTCATTATCTTAGAATCTTTTTTTTTATTGAAATCATTGCAACAGAATTTTTCTATCTTTATTAGGCAATTGGCGCTTATTTCACCTTTGCTTCCACCAATTAATGTATCGAGGGTGTTCGTCTACTGGGGAATTAAAAAAAAACCACTACAAAATAATATTTCATGGAAATTAGGCAGTTCGATGTTCTTTTAACAAATTATAATGGTTATATATTTTTATTTTTCTTATGAATAGACATGTTAAATTTGCAGTATATATTTATGGTCTATTTAAATATGGGAGCAATACAGAAGAAAATCATGATGTTATATATCCAACACTAATATATTTACAGAATAATATGCATAATTTTATCATTACAGAAAGCTTTATTGTTTGAGACGAGGAGGTCAGCTGATAGAGACATTGACCTTTCACATAACCAATCATAATACAAAGACATGCTTCGTCATATATCTGTTTCATGACGTCATTTCTATGTTAGAGACCGGCATTTTGAAAGACGTGAGTTTAGCCTTGCACCCGAAGTGTTTAAAATTTATAATATGGGAGATAATTTGTACAAATCAAGACTACAGCATTTTAAAAACAAGGGAAAAGATCAAGATGTAAGTATTATTTTATTATGCTTAAAAAGTTTAGATGACATTAACTTTGTCATTTGTGGTTTACTTGTTTTCTTAACTTGAAGTTGGAATTCAGTGACTTCATCAGAAGGTAAATTTAAGATCGATGTGCTAAGCCTAATTAAGTTAGCAATACTCATTTTATTTTTATATGTGTTAATATTACCGTAATGATTTATATTAACTATTTTCACATCAGTTTCACAATGTTATATTTCATTTATATCTAACACGTTTCGGAACTAAAACAAGGAGTAAATAATAAAGCGTTTACAGAGATTTTATGTTATAAAGTTAGGCTTAGCGAAAACTATTCGACAGACCACAACTATCTTAAGACTTAAGTTTACCTTTTGGACATGCACTTTTTACCTGTGGATGTTATGAAATACAGCCTGGGGAAATTGCCTAGTCTCTGTGGTTCAATGGCAGCCATATCTTTGCATATGTAACATTGGGTTTTACTATTATCATTGTATCACTCAGTCGGCATAGTTAATTATTGAATTACATTTAAATTTTAAATTTAATACTCATAAATGACATTTGACAGATATATCAAGTTACAATATGAAAGAAAAAGTAACATTTACGGTTCTTAGTTAATGAGATATGGAATTATTGTAGTAACTATTTAAGTTCTGAAATCTGGCTGTTAATGGTATTAGTGTGTTACCTGATGTGTAATCAGTGTTTGTTTCACCAAGCCACTAGGTATTATAATATAATTATCAATAGCTTAGTGAGATTTAGGATGTTTTCTTCATAGTTAGAGGAGTGGAACATAATAACTTTAAATTATCAAAATTTACTTTAATTTCTAAACATTTTTACAACTAATCTTTTATTTTTGATGACGAGGAACCCACTTTGAGACTAATAATGGCTGGAGATGGCTTGAATTGGTAAAGATGAAAAACTTTAATATAAGTTTAACATAACAGCAAATGTACAACGTTTCAACAAGGTTTTGTCATCATCATCTTTTATTTATCTTTATTTGAGGACACTAATTGTTATCTAGATTAAGAAAAGGGTGTAAACTTGAGGTACATAGATTTTCAAAAGGTGCTGTATTAAAAATTATTTTAGAATCGATTGAGGAGAGACTAGTTAATTACATTATAGGGTGGTTGAGTTGGAGAAGCAGAAGCTTATTAAGAGAGTCAATCTGGATTTATTATAAGCAGCATACTTCAGGGGTCAGTGTGTGGGCTTTTGCTTTTTTTTTTTTACATTAACGATATTGGTAGGAGCATAATTGTTAGTCAACTTCACATTAAACTCTCATTAAATGTAAACTAACTATAGTACAAAAAATTTCAAGTAATTTATAGTGAAATGTGATGGCTTGGTGTAGTAAAAAACTGAGGTAAATATTCTCTGATTAAGGGTGTATTAAGTAAAATATTTAATATTATTGTCATGCATAATTACATGTATGGTTATTGTCATTTTGGCTCCATCATCTGTGTCACTAGCTTCTCCATCTAAGGGAAATAGTCATGGCCAGTTTGTGAAATCCATATTTTTCTAATATGGGAATTCTTTGACTTAATTTTCAAAAAGTGTGCAATAGATTTCTGATGCAAATTGTATGTACTTTTATTGAATATTGTTCAAAAATTATAAGTATTTTGGTCCTAGATAGATGTGTTTTAATATAGTGCAAGTCCAATCAATATTGTACAATATGGCAGCCTTCCTCTTGTAACAGGTTGCTTCTGCTATATACAGTGTTAAAAAAATGTATTAACTATACTAGCTAGGCACCTAGACTTACTAGCAAGCAATTTCTTACACTTGATACCACTGCACATTTTCAGAAAACATTGCTTTAATAGTGTTCATAGTCATTGTTTTTTGTTTTTTTTTATAAATACAATACTTAATGTTAATTTATCCTTATACACTTAATGTATATTAATTTTTTAGTTCACTATTTGAGCCTGAACATTGCTAATGTGCAATAATATTAATATTTTGTCTAATCAAGCCATTTTGAGGTCTTAATATCAAGGGATGAGAGTAGGTAGCTGGATTGTTTGGTCAGGATTGTGATCACGAGTCTGTGTTTAACTTAATTATATATATTTAGCAGAGGAATTCTTATGTGAGTGGCTGTGTACTGGATTTACACTGAATGCTAACAAAATATTAAAAGGTGTTTTGCAGCAATGATCTAAAACAGATTTTAAAGTATCAAACATGTTACTACCAGGGTAAAATAAAAATATTACAAATGAAGTAATCACAAAGTCAATTTCAGAAATTTGTAATTAATAAAGTAGTTCTTGGCCAAGACTTTCTATAACTGTCTCAAACTCGTATAAAGAAGTATTGACAGAAAAAAACAGCAACGTTGTCAATGTCAAATCATACCCTATAATTATAATAATAATGAATTGTTAAAAAAAAACTAGATGAAGAAAAAACACATTTCATAAGTTTACTCAAAGTCAGTATTCAACGCTTTTCAAAAATAATGCCATAAAGCAAATAGTAATCAACAAACATATCTCTTAACTGCTTGTGTCAGTCTTGCTTATCTTGCATTCACTTTTTCCTGCGGCTTCTTTTAATCTTTTGGCCTTTCAGTCCCCCTGTGGAACAGTGGTGAGTTTACGAACTTGCAGTGCTTGAATCCGGGGTTAGATTCCATAGAGTGAATACAACAGATAGCCCAACATTGCTTTGCTCTGACAAACGTATCTGACCAAATGTTGTTTTAATCAACGATACTCAACACAATCTTTAAGTGACATATATAAACAAAAAGGAGGCCTCTTTGGGATAAGCTGTCTTTGATTTGTGAACTTCTGTTGGTTCATTGAGAGTGTGATGCTTGGGTCTTTTCCCAGTTGCTTTCGAGCCTGCACTTTACTTGAAGACTGAATGATCTGGGAGCAAATTTTTAGTTTTATATCTATCCACAGACATTGTAGTTCATGCTGGGAGGTTTGCTTCTGAGTTACGTGAAGGAACAGTTATGCCTTATCCAACATGGTTGTTGGAACTTCGTGATTTAGCCTACCACTGCCAGGTGGAAACATTTTCTGACTCAAATAATACATCTGCTCCTCGAATTTCAGGGTTATAAGGTGGAGGTTGTAGTTAACTTGAATGGATCAATGTCCCCTGATGGGACAGGGTAAGTTTATGGACTTGCAACTCTTAAAATCCAACATTTTGTTTTCCTTTAACTTCACTCTGTTAGAAGACTCTCATGATCACCAGCTTCATTGTTAATGAGCTGGAACCATTGTTAGCATGCACATTGGTTCAGTTGCTGGCTTCTATGCTCATCCCTGTTGATGGCATCTTAAATTTCATTAGCTTCTACAGGGGGTAATAGTTCTGCCCCTATTCATGGGTCCCAATCCTGGAAATCAGCCCCTTGGTACATTGGTACCCAGAATAGATTGTCTATATCCAAGGGTTCCGCTGCCCTGTCGGATTGCTGTCAGTGGCATCGGTGATTATTGCATGCCTTCAGGGTCTATGGGGCTTGGCTCTGAGAATTCCTGTACATGTGGCAATCTTAACCACGGATCCTAGAGCACTGCAGGTCCTTGAATCAGGATTAATCATTTACTTAACAACTATTATCCACCCAGCCTGTAGGGTTTTCATTTCCTGCAGATCCTTGGGAGTTAGAACTAAGTTCTTGGGCTATCAGAGTTTGGTTAATCTGGGGTCAGTAAGAGAGTTGTACTAGATCTTTTGAGTTTTTATTCCCATCAGTTGTTGGGCCTAAGAAGAAAGGAGACTGTTGCTCAGTCATCGATTTTTATTATCTATATCAATGCCTAGATTCTCCAAGGTTCATTCTTCAATCTGAGTTGACATTTTTTACTGGGATTGTGGATGTACAAGTTCATTGCAGTTGGCTCCTATCTGCACATTACCATAATGGTGGCATCCCACCACTATCAGTATTTTATGTGCACAAGGATCAGGTACTTCAGTTCCAGGTTTTTACCTTTGGACTTGTATCAGCTTCACATGGGTTCTGCTGCATTGTATGAGTTTTTTTGTCACGTCTATTCCATCACACTGTACACATACCATTCCATAGACAACTGGTTACTGTTGGCACCATCTCCCCAATTGTCAAAACACCACATCCTGATTCTACTTTCAGAAACAACCAAGGCAGACTTTATTCTCAGGGTTGAGACATATATTATTGCTTCAATATGTCATCAGTCTGGGTATTTTTTATTTTTCATCTCGTATCTTAGTCGGGCTCAGCTAACTCCTATCCAGCTCCACTCTATGGAACAGGAAGCCCAACTTTTACTCGCCTCTCCTCCTCCCACTACATAAATGGTTCTCTCTCTTCTGGGGTGCCTTTGGGATGAGAGCCTTTTAATGGTCCTTATGTAACCAAAGGATCATAAACATTGATTCTCTGGATTCCCCAGTTTCCTTAGTCTGGATCATTCTTTGATCTCGAGGGGTTGATAAGGTGGGACATGACTAAGATATGGGTTTCTCTACTTCCACCTTGTCCAAAGTTCTATCTCTTCATGAATTCCTTGCATATAACAAGAGTCAAGAATTCCAGGGTCTATGCATGGATGACAAGGCTTCCCTACACAATGTTTTAATCCTTCTTGCTCTTTAACTCTCTTAACACGGGCTTGGTCAATTTGACTGACCACATGACTTCTTTGTACTAGATTAAAGTCTTTATAGATTTAATACTTCTAACTTTCAATATTGTGTGTATATCTTTACCAAATTTGCAGTCTTTCAGTTCATATTATAAATCTTTCACATACAAAAAAAATAATTTTTAAGTGAAGTATTTTTAATAAAATAGATTTGTTCGTGAATATATTGAGTATTTGTTTTGAATAGTCCGTGTGCAAAGTAACTTTCATGTTAAAATTAAAAATACTTTTTGTCATCTTAAATTTTCTTTGTGTAATCCCTAAAACCTCCTAAATGCATTTCAAACATTTTTTTTCAGTAAAACTTTATAGTTTATCTATTATTTTCTCTACCCTATCTGAAAATGGAATTGGTCAATTTGACCGACCTTGTAACCACCAAAAAAAATCACAATAAATCTAAATTACTCTTCTTTTTTTTTCTTTCTACAATGACTTTGATTTGTAACATGAAACTACATTCATTTATCCTAAGTTGCTCTAAGTTTGTGACAGTATACATCTATTTATAATAAAATTTTATTGCCCTTTGAACCATGTCTAACTACTATCTGTGCCATTATAAGTTGTAAATCACTCGGGGAACGTGCAGCTCAAGTTACACTATTGAAATACATTACCCACGAGCTGCTCGCATGCATTCCTCGTGAACCATTTTAATTATATTATTATTACTTATTTAACCTAATCTAGTCTTAAATAACTTAAAAAGATCCATAGTTTTAGATTTTAGTTACTTTTATAATAATAAATAACGAATAAATATGAAAAACAAGAAATAAAGTACTTACCCAATTTTCTTTTTTTTTGCTCTCATGTTTTCGAAGAGAGTTAATCCTTATTTTTTATACTACACAGTAATACACCAAAGAATATAGACTAATACCATGCAAAAAAGTAGACAAGTTCACTTACCTCTCAAAATTTTCCTGGCTTTCTAACTATACAACAAGAGCAGTTACAAATTCATCCAAGCTAGTCATTAACTTTCCCATGGGAATGAATCTTGTACTATGAATGAAGTTAATGATAATCTGTTCTGAACACAACATTATACAATACATCATTTGATAGATGAAAACCTTAACTTTCTTTTGCTTATAGGTAATATATAATGAAACAAGAGAGAACTATCAATGAAATTTGAAAGAGAGGTTATGGCAGGAGGGGTTTCATTTTCTATTCTATAGCTCTGTAACCAAACAAAATTGAAGGCTATAAAAATTATGGTTTGTTTGAGCAATAATGATTTTATAGAGAGTATTTTACGTTTAATTTCATACTTTTTTCGAGTGGTGGTTGATAAAATAGGGATAATAACATGCTAAGAGAAAATGTCATGTGAGTCACACTAGTGGAAATTCAGGATTTTTTAAAATATTTCTTTGTAGAATTAAGAACTTAAAACTTGTATACTGTTAAAATATGGATTATTAGCTAAGATTTTATGCTATTCTAATGGGTATAACATAAACAAAAAGTAGTTTAATGAAATTTTGAATGTAAGACACTAAAACCTTGTGTCTTGTGCAGTAAAGGATACCCGAAGTGATAGGGTTAAAAGGCAGTGCCTCATGGTCTGTGGTTATAAAGCAGAAAATCATCAGGCTTAACTCTGATGATTCCAGGGTGGTGTCTTGTATTTCTCATCGAGAAGGCACATGGTCCGGAGTTCCTTGTTCTCAAATCTTGGGCCTCCTTTCTCTGGACCAGTTATATCGTATCACCTTACTAACTTGCCATGTTCCACAGGTGATGTCTAAGGTCACAGATCAATTGTCTCAACCTAAGTAGATCTTCCCTAGAGAATGGATGCTGCATCGCAAGATTTTGTTGGATTGGCTCTCATTTTCCAATTCTGATTGGTGGGTTGGCTTAATCTGTAAAAAAATAATTTCACTGTGAATATTTTTCATGAAAATACAAATAAAGTGCAAACTATTATGTACATCAATTGTGAAAAAAAAATATTGTTAGGTAAGTTTGTGTTGATTTCATTGAAAAGATATTCACTGATTGTTTTACATTTGGAAATAAAATGTACTGTCCAAATCAGCAAGTTTTACATGCTTGAAATTAAATATTTCATGTAAATATTGAATTGTTACAGACATTTGCAGTTTTTTGGCTTAAAAAATATGAATTTAGACTTTGGTAAAAACTATAAACATTGATTTTTTTTAAACTTCCATGAGATTGTGATATTATATTAAAGTTTTCAAGAAAAATGTAAATGGTTTCCAAGTGGTTCCCTTGTATTTCATCCATACTACACACACAAATATGTTTATTGTGCCATTGTAAGCATGTGTGAAAATATTTGACCTATGTTAGGAGATGAGGAGGAGGAGAAATGAAGTGACTGTTGAACTAAGGAAAACTAAACGTGATGAATCCCTTTTGAAAAGAAGAAATGTACCCCAAGCTGATTCCACTGATGAAGATGAAGTAGATCGAAGCCTTACTCACAAAAATCTTGAAGTCATTGTTCAAAATGCCAATAGTACTGAGCCTGGAATTAAGCTTAGTGCAGTCCAGGCTGCAAGGTAATTATAGTTATATATTTTAATTTTTGATAATGCCCTGGAAGTATTTTTTTTCTTGATTTTTTTCTAGAAATTTACTTGTTGTGTATATATTTATCAATTCTTCAATATTCGTTCATTATTTTCCTTCATTTTATTACAAAGAAAAGCAAAATGAAAGCTATAGATGTGGAGATGTTGTCAGCCATCATAATTTTTTCTTCAGTAAGAGATGTATGTAATTCTAAGTTCTTGTTTTTTAAATAATTTAAATTTTTTTCTAATTTTAAAGATATCTAGAGTTCAGTTTACTTTGGTGACACCAGAGATAGCATAAATGTAAAACTTGTCAAAAAATTTAAACACTGAAGTATATGAGACTCCTTGTAACTTTTTTTGTTTAAAAATAAAATTAAGTTAGTGGTGTTAAAATCTATGTTAATATGGTGTAGTTTAATAATTATTACAACTAAGTAGGTTTGTGACAAGGATCTCAATTTGGTATACTATACTGATTTAGTAATTTACAATGTTGTCTATACTATGCATAATTTAGAACACATAATTAAAACATTGGAAAAATTATTTTGGGAAAAAGATTAGTCTAACTGGTTTACGTAGGTTGAAAAGTTTTAAATAACAAGATGTAGTGTAACTTTTATATGTTTAATTTTGTTGGGCCTCATGTATATTTTTAAGACGATAGAGCACGTGGTTCATAATTAATTTCTTTTTTTGTTTCAAATTGGACATTGGCTGAACATGCATATATTTACAAATCTTGTATGTGTGAAAACATTTCTATAAAAATGTTTGATCTTGATTTTTGAAATGTGTGTTAGAATTAAGGATATTAAGTACATAATTTCTAGAACTAGATATTAGATAGGCCAAAAGATGCAGAATAATTTGAATAGTTATCAAATGTTAAAATACACCTCAGTCAAACTAAATAGGCATTTTGTTGTGATGCTTTAAATGCCCACATGCTACAGTGTTTTTACTTGAGCAAAATTTCTTCAAGATGAAATGGGTTTAGACATTCATGAACAAAATGGAGGCATGTTTATGAACTTATGAAATTCAAAGAGCATACTAAATATTCATTTTGACTAGCAACAAGTGCTAAGCTACTCAATTAAACCTGGAGGAAAAGAAAATTGTTTTATGCTTGCTTGCTACCAGTATCACAGTTAATGAACAAATTTCACATACTGCTTCTGAAGTAAAATCAGTTATTGAAAAATAGTTAACATATAATAAACATGCATTTTAAAGGTGTATTTTTATTTATTTTCCTACAAGATCAGTTTTTTGTTTTATCTTTTGAAATAGGTCAGTTATATCACTCCATCAGTAGAAAAATCTGTTGCTATTTCGTTTACTTGCATAAGAAAAGTGTGTGTAAGCTTAAAGCTTGAATTGTAAATCTTGTACCCATAATTAAATATGAAATTGGTATTGTAAGTATTCAGTTGTAACTCTTATTTGCTATTCACCTGTTATGTTCATTGGATCTTTTGTTTATGTACAAAATTGTCCTAAGCATGTCTTTCAAAAATTAAGTGTTTTAAAACACAATACTGAATGGAAACTTTATTGGTTGATTTTTTTCATTTTGACAGTATTCAGAATGTATTGTGAAATATCAAAGTTTCCAGTCAAACCATATTTTTCTTTTACCTGATTAAGAATTATATTTGTAGTGCAATGCTAAAGAAGATTCATTATTGTATTTCCACTTTGAGTCATGATTATTGTATTTTGATCAAGATACTTATTTTCAAGTTAAAACTATTTGAACAAAGGTAAGACAAAATATGAAACCATGTAATCAGAGTTATATCAAAAGGTGAACCTTTCTTCATCAGGTGGAAAATGGAAATAACAGAGTAAAAGTGTTTAATGTATAAGGTAATTATGAACTTTGCAATTAACTACAGAAAGTTTATGGTTGATACATTTTTTTTCTGTAGTGTTAAATTTTGATCTAACTTTTATTTAGGAAGCTTCTCTCCAGTGATCGGAATCCTCCAATTGATGATCTAATCAACTCTGGAATTCTTCCAATTCTGGTACATTGCCTTCGAACCACAAAGTATGTATGTACACTGAGTGTAATAAACATTTCCATCCTTTATGTGTGTGTGTGTGTGTGTGTATGGAAGTGTGTATTTTTATATATAGTTCACTATATAATGGTATATGAACAGTAGTTTGTCTGATAGATTAATTATATTTTTAAAACAGATGTAGCTGTGTTTGTCTTAAATTTTTAATAGCGACTGCACCTAATGATCAATCCACAAAATGAGACTTGTCTTGTAGACATTTACTTCAGTCCTCATTTATCAATGACAGGGCATAAATTATCACTCTGCTGTTTGTCAAAAAAGAATTCTGTGACTAGTGATTTGTACATATCCTGAATAATGTTAACTTGTCAAATATGTCTAAACATTATTAATATTGTATTTAATAATTTACCATAAACTTATAAATTGTTAGTTCAGATCAAAATGATGATGATAAACACACACACACACACACACGTGTCTGTATTTATGTCTCATGCTGCGAAAATGCTTTGTTCCTTAAGAATTTACTTTTTAGTCAAGTTTTCAATATCAGTGGCTAACTGGTTAAATGTGTTGCATGCTTTAAGTTGGTCATTAAGAATATAATAAATTCCTGCATCTTAAAAAGTTAATTTATTTATATATATGCAGGAGCCTATTATAAAATATTTATAATTCATTATGTTTATTTCTTTGCAAGTGTGCAAAATAAGCTTTCCATGCTCTAGGTGTTTAACAGCAGTCATTTCACATGGTTTTGAATGGCTACTGCTTATTTCCTGTTAACTGTCATCTGTAAATCAGAGCATTTCACAGTTTGAGCTAGATGTTTTATTATTATTTATGCAATACTTAACTGGTACTAAACCCTATAATCTGCAGAAAATTACTGCATTACTGACTCAAACACAGGTGGATTAAGGGTCAGATGTGCCTGGGGCTAAATTTTTCTACTGGGTCTATTATGATCAAGACTAAGGTAAGAAATACTCAACCTCAAGATGTTTTAGTTTTGGAGAATATGAGAAAATAATACCCACAAATCTGCAAGACCCATCTACAAATTAATGAAAGATATTAGATGTTTCTTGCATAGGAGAGGTGGTACTCTAACACAGACAAAATTTGCATTTGGATAACAAAGCATATAGACAGAAAGAAACCATACACAAACTCTATTATTCACGTGTACACATGAACAGACAAATGCACAAACACATACATGCTCAGATTACATTTGTACTGATATAGTATGCCCAACAGCAGTAGTAGCAGATCGTGTCATCTGTACTTGGTTAAACTATTGTCTTTCTGGCTCTTTTTATAACAAAGGCATTTATGATCTCTTTGGTGTCAAGTGATTCCAACAAGTCATTTTCTATGCACTTAGCTTGTTTTGGCACATTGTTGATTGAAGTGTGTTCGTTATTCTTTTTAGCTTTGAGAATGATCCTTCTCCTGAGCAATTGTTTGACATGAAGCACAGGTACAAATTTAAGATTATCAGGATGTTTGGAAAAGTTGATTTAAGAAATTGGTCGCATATCATTTTCAGCATACTTTGTTCCTTGGATTTTGATAGTTTTTAAATGAACCCTGGATTGCAGAGGGCAGCAAATTGAACAATTTCTTCCTTTGTGCAACTCTCCAAGTCCATAGGATATATGCTAATCAGCTTTTTTTTCATGACATTGCAGATGCTCTCTGTAGTCATGGGCTCTTTAACTTTTGTAGAAACCCAAATTTCCAACTTGTGTTTTCATATGCCAATATTCTGTGCAAGTGACAGTTTATCAATTATTTTTCAAAAATTCTGAACTTTATATTGATTAGAGGGTGAAAAATCATTCTCCTCAGCATCCCTTTGTCCCATCATCTATTTTTCTTCCTTTTCTCTAATCTTTTGACCTGGTATGTCTTGCATCCTGACAGTTGTTTACCCTTTTCCTCGTATTTTGGAAATGTATGAATGCCTTGAGAGATTTCAGCATATGAGAAGCTGTACCGACATCCATTTGGGAGTTTTGTAATGAATGACTTGTTTTGTGAAATCTCTCCAGGATAACACTCCGTAATTCTGTCATCATACCTTTTTCTAGTTGCTCCAATTGTAGCATAAGGCTTCTTTATAGGTGCACTTGAAGCTTTTACATATCATCTGTAATGGAAGTGAGGACTTGTGTTGTGGCTTTGAACCCCATTTTTAAGGCTTGTGTTGTGTCTGAATGGGCACTCCACCTTGTGTTTTATAATCTCCGTTATTGGGAACCCTAATTTTTCAAGCAAATAGTGTAAGCACTTTCACATGCAGGTTAAAGTTGAGAAAAACACAAAGCTGTTGCACAAAGGGAATGAACAAACAAGGTTCAGTACAACAATACACAATGTATTGTCCAATCAAGTTTAGTGAATGAGCACAACAGGGAACATAGTCTGCTAGGGGGTTCTTCTCTTTGATCAAGGCATGTATGCCAACATATTTGCTATTTATATTGGATGACTTATTGTAAGACTGTCCATGGAAATTTTGAATTCTTACATAATTTTTTTCAGAGAAATTAACCCTTTCTCCACAGGTACCATTTTCTGCAATTGACACAAGGTTTTAGT